TGTTTTCTTGGAGCGGAAAGACCCAAAGTTCAAACGTCCCGGCGTGGCCGTCGGAGGCCCCCAACCAGCCACCCAGCTTGGAAACGCGCGGCAAATGTTTCGCCGAGGCTGAACGCGACTCTGCTGCCGTCGCCACCGTAGCTGCACTGCATCCGGTGATCCACTGGCCTCAGGGCCCCGAAGAGTAAGCCTCCTAGCGGTGTCCTGACGACCTCCTGGAATCTGGGGGGAGACCGCCGGGGGACCTCCCCTGGCCCTCTTGGGGGCCTCCCGCAAACTTCCAGAAGGGGGTCGGGAGGTCTCCCAGAAGTTTTTTCTGGTCCTTGCACGCCTGCTGGGAATCCTCCCCGAAGACCAGGGTCCGGGAGCCTCCCCCAGGCCTCGAAAGCTGGCAGGGTTCCCTCCAAAGGGAAACTTCCGGGGAGACCAGGGGAGGCCCCCTGGAAACCTCCCCTGGCCCTCCCGGGGCGCTGGGGGGAAACTTGGTGGAGGACCAGGTGAGGTCTCCTGGAGGCTTCCCCTGGTCCTCCCGAAAGCCTCCCACAGGAGACCTCCCCCCTGCGGGAACTCTCATCGGAGGCTTCCAAGTGAACCAGGGGAAGCCTCCCAGAGACCTCCCCTGGTCGTCCCGGAAGCCTGGGGGGGGCCTCGCCTGGTGTTCCCGGGGGCCGCGGGAAGCCTCTCGCCACACCTTGTGGAAACCAAGGGAAGCCTCCGGAAGGCCTCCCCAAGCCCTCGGGGGGATCAGGGGGAGGTTTCCAGGAGAACCAGAGGAAGTCTGGTGGAGGCCCCTTCCACCTCGCCGGAGGAGGGCCCGCTGGGAGGTCTGGTCGACGCGGAAGGGGGGCATCCCACCAGACCTGTTGGAGGCGGAAGGGAGGTCTGGTACCAGACCTAGTGGGGTTGGGGGTAACTGAAGACCCAACCCAGGCAAAGCAAGAAAACCAGCATGGAGGCGAACGCGGCCCAAGACGGCACCAAGATACCCCCCAGGCAACTCACGACGGCCCAAGAGGGCCCCTTAATGTCCCAGGTAGCCCCATATACGATTCAAGAGTGTCCCAGGAGGCCCCCATGACAACCCGACAGTAACCCATGACATACCACATGTTGTCCACGTGTGCCACGTGAGAACCCCAGGAGACGCAATAATGAGACAAGGAGAACGAAATGGAAGAAGGGAGGGTGGCAACATGGGGGACGTGGGAAGGGGGAGGGCGACGACGTAGACGAAGGAGTGCGCCCGGAAGCGGCGCGGAAGAGCGCGTCACATGTTGCGGCCCTTGCAAGGCTACGGGCGACGACATGTCGCGCGTTATGGTTTTCGTGGCGGCGCTCGAAGACTCGCCACGCCGAGTGCTGCGCGGTCGCGGTGCGCGGGACTTGCCGCGAACAGATCGGCATGACGCACGCGCCGTGGTTTCTACCACAACCGCGCGACGCGTATGATTTGTCAACAATGTCGCGCCCTCCACGAGCGGACCGGGCCTGCCACTTTGAGACGTGCGCAATAAAACACCATCAAAACATAATGCGAGCGGACGAGGGGGAAAGCAACCAGAAGAGGTCGCGCGAAAGGTGGACAACAAATGAACAATGCTCACAAAAAAAAAAAAAAAAAAAAAAAAAAAAAAAAAAAAAAAAAAAAATGCGCAAGCGCCCAACGAAACAAACTTATAGACACTCCAACAATTTGGCGTGCCGCGAAGAATGGAAAGGGGGCCGGGGGCCCGCGTGCCCACGAGGAACAAACTTAACGGCATGGTAATCGTTACTGGACACGCCGTCACGCAAGAGCCGCTCTGACAACACACACGCACACGGACGCATCATCGCGCAAAAGCGGCCGAACCACGCCGCGCGAAGCATCGCTGCGCCAAGGCGATCCGCCCATGCAAAACACGCGCAAATGACATCCGAAAAGAGCGCTACGCGCCGCGCAAAAAATATGGCGCGGTGCCGCAACAATCAGGCGGCTACGAATGTAAACTCCTCTGACCTGCGCGCACGCGCGTCGTGTTAAACAGGCCGCGCCGCGCAGGCACGCCACTCGGTCTCGCGCCAGCACGTCGAAGGGAAGGTCTGCGGGAGACGCTCTGCAAGTGGCAATGAAGCAACCCCACGAGAACGCGATACATGTGAAATCGAAGCACGTGCCAACAGTAACCGCGACAACAGAACAACCAACAAAAAATCAGTTTAAAGAAACATCCATAACTTCCGGTTGCGGTGGTTTCTTGCGCGGTCATGTGGTGAAGACCTCCCAGACCAGCAGCGACAGCAGCCCAAAGCCGAGATCGCTGCCCCAGGACACTCGCCCCGCCTCCGGCTCGGGGCAAGCCGGGCAGGGATTTGGGCAAAAGTCCAGGCTGAGCGGGGCCGGCGCGGCCGCGAACCGAGCCAGGGCCGCGCAAAGGTCCTCGACCTGCGCGACACGCGGCGGCGCGGCCGCCGGGCAGCCTCGCTCACAAGAGGCCAGGGCGGGCGCCGGCCGCGGCGCCTCGGCAGCCACCGGCGGCGGCGGCGGTGGGCGGGAGCCGCCCAGCAGACGCCCCAGCCAGACGGCGCGGGCGTGGAATGCGAACAGCGTCGCGCCGGGCGACCGGGCCACAGAAAAGGCTCGAGCCGTGGCGGTTGCAGAACGCGCGGCCCTCCATCGCTCTACGATTACTGTTCGAGAACCCCATCGGAATCTCAATTTGTCTTGCCGATTACTCATCGTCTTCGCGTGAAGTCCCGACGCTGCTTCACGGTGGCGCCAAGGCCTCATGATTTCGCTCTTGTATTGCCCATTATCCGAGAGAGGGGGCCAGCGGCAGGGGGCGAAGACCTTACGGATAATAATAATAACAATAAGAAGAAGAATAATAATAGTCATAATACTTATAATAATAGTAGTAATAGTAATAATAAAAATAATAATAACAATCATAATAATAATAACAATAAAAATAATAATAATACTAATAGTAATAGTAATAATAAAAAAATAATAATAATAATAATAATAATAATAATAATACAAACACTAATACTAATAAGAATAATAATAACAATAATAATAACAACAACAACCACAACAACAACAACAACAACAGCAACAACAACAACAACAACAACAACAACAACAACAACAACAACAACAACAACAACAACAACAACAACAACAACAACAACAATAATACACAAATATAAAATAAATAAATAGAGAAATGAATACATAATATTGATAAATATAATAATCATACGAATACGAATAATAATAATTATAATAACAATAATACCACGAATACGAATAATAAGACTACTACGAATAATAAAAATAGTAAAACTAATAAGAAGAAGAAGAAGAATGGTAAGAAGAAGAAGAAGACGCCGTGCACGTCAGAGGTGCATGGGCAAGAAAACTGGCGCCGACGCGACGGCAGCCGAACGCCGTGAAACACTTCGAACACTCCATCGTCGCCAACACTGTGGACAGGGCGTATCTGAAATCCCGTAGATGCACTCTGTGCGAAGAGCGGAAACTGTGGCTTCTTGCGCTTCATCAGACAAACAAACAAACAAAATAATGTCATGGGAAACTGCCGGTAACGGGAGGCCCGGAAAGAGGGGAGGGGGCGCGCAAATAACATGGATCGGGGGAGGTGCCCTCCCCGAAAGTGCGGCCGGCGCCGCCTCTTTCGGCGGCGGAAATCCGCCGTTTCCCAATGGAAACGGGACCCGTCGCTAATCCACGCCCCCTTGATCCATGTTTGCGATCGCGAGGAAGAGGGGGAGGGGCGAGGCCCGGGGAGAGGGAGAGGCCCGGGAGGGGCGAGGGGAGAGACGAGGCGCGAGTGGAGGGGCGAGGCGCGAGGGGAGGGGCGACTCAGGGAGGAGAAGGGGCGAGGGGAGGGGCGAGGCCCGGGAAGAGGGAAAGGCGAGGGAGGAGGCGCCCTTCCCTCGCCCCTCGCCCCTCCGTGGGTGTCGTGGGTCAGGGGTCTTCCGGAAGTCTCCTCGCCCCTCGCCACACGCCTCCGTTGCGACACTGGCTTCAGAGCGCAGAGCTGTCGAAGGAGAGCGGTCCGGGAAATGTCGAAGCTCGCACCTGACCTACAGTGGAGGCCCGACCACAAGAAACCTTCCACAAGAAGCCCAACCCTGGCACCCCAGGACGCCTGTCGATGTTTGGCGTGGGAGCGTCACGCGTTCCATAGCAAAACCATCGAAACCCAAGAAATCCAGGGCACCCTGGAGGCAAGCAGGGTGTTTCTTGGCATGGGCCTCCACTGTATACGAGATTCTGCAGGCGGTAAACTATCCTGGTGCTCGCAAGCGCTCATGGAGTATCTTGACTGGCAGTCATTGATGGGTCAGGATCTCCAGAACTGCACTCCTCATGGGGAAGACCTGTCTTCCGAGGAGGCATCGGATTAGGTATCTTGAGACTTAAGCCAAGAAATACCGATACCGCCACTCCCCAGACCTCCCGGGTACGCTTTGACCAGAATCTCGAGGCGAATCCAGCCGACGCAGGCCTCCCAAGAACCTCAGAAAGGCGAAAACGAGGGAAGGGCAGCGGTATCGGTACGGCAGGTTCGTGCCATGACAACCCCGACGGCGATGGTCTCTGGCACCACGTGGATCGTTCAACCTTGGACAAGCGGCGGCCTTTCGATCGTCAGGGCATCCCACATCAGTCGATTCGGCCACTGGCGGCGTTCACCCCCGAACGCCAGCGGCGGGGTCGCTGCGGAATCGGCACGACGCACGCCTTCCGCACCTCCTCCCCGTCTGACCGAGAGCCTCCCGCGGACGGCAGGCCGAGGGGCTGAGCGTCGTCTGACCGACCCCCCATCCCTGTGGGCGCGGCCCGGGCCCCACCGGGCGATTCACCCCCCTGGATGGGGACACAGGCTGCTTCCTGCGGGCATCGCGGGCCACGACCCCCGCTGGGGTGCCGAGGTGGTGGCGACGTGGACGGGGCACGGGGAGACCACGAGCCGAGGGCCAACGGCCTCCTCCAGGAGGCCGCCCGGGCCCAGCGCCAGGCGCAGCGCCGCGGCCAGGAGCGCGGCACGCGCCACCGGCAGCACCAGCCACGAGGCCGCCAGGTGCGCCACGAGGCAGGCCAGCCTGGGCCCCCCCCGTCTTGGGGCGGTCGTGGGGGCCTCTCGGGTCGTCTTGGAGCGTCGGGGGCTCGAGAAGGCCAGAACCCAGAAGAAAAACATCTGAAAACTTACGAAAATCACTGGTTCTGGTTCTTGGCGCATTCTTGGGATGGCTCTTGGGGCTCTCCTGGGACGTCTGGAAGGCATCTTGCGCCGTGTTGGGCATCCCTGACTTGAGGAACAAACAAATCCGCCGGCCCCCTTGTGGGGCCACCAGGCTGTTGGCCGAAGATTCGCAGTTTCCTGTACCAGTTGCAGCTTCCAGTTTCCACTGTTACAGTTCTGCTTCTTGCTGCTTACTGTTCCTTGTTGATAGACCGCGCGAGGGGGGGGGAGGCCCAAACGGGCAAGTTTAGCACGCCCTGAGCGTGTTGTCTGAATTGCTGGGGTGGGAAAAATTAACACCCCTCACGCAGATCATTGGGGTCAGGGTCCAAAAAACACATGGGATTTGCCACATTTCTGAAACTCGGTGGCACCCCTCACGCAGATCGGCGGGGTCAGGGTCCAAAAACACATGGGATTTGCCTCATTTCTAAAATTTGCTGGCACCCCTCACGCAGATCGGCGGGATCAGGGTCCAAAAACCATGGGATTTGCCACATTTCTGACTTTCGGTGGGACCCCTCACGCAGATCGGCGGGGTCAGGGTGCAAAACACAAAGGATTTGCAACATTTCATTAAACTTGAAGACACCCCTCACGCAGATCGGCGGGGTCAGGGTTCAAAAACACAGGGGATTTGCCACATTTCTGAAATTCGGTGGCACCCCTCACGCAGAGGGTCAAAAAAAACATTGAAAAACATTGGATGTGCCACATTTCTGAAATTCGATGGCACCCCTCACGCAGATCGGCGGGGTCAGGGTCCGAAAACGCAAGGAATTCTCAAAATGTCTGAAATTCGGTGGCACCCTTCACGCGGATCGATAGGTTCAGGGTCCACAAACACAGGTGATTTGCCACATTTCTGAAATTCGGCGGCACCCCTCACGCAGATACGTAAGGTCAGGGTCCAAAAACACATGGGATTTGCCACATTTCTGAAATTCGGTGGCACCCCTCATGCAGATCCGTAGGGTCAGGGTCGAAAAACAACCAGGTCCCGACACTGCTTCACGGCGGCACCCAGACCTCATGATTTCGCTTTTGCATCTCCCATTATCTGAGACAGGGGGCCGGCGGCATGGGGCGAAGCCCTTACTTAAACATAAACATAATTTCTCGGAGGTCCACGCGGATTTCTTGGATCTGCGCTGGACCTCCTTCCCTGGCGCGCGGAGCGCGCCAGAGGCAGCGCCAGAGGCTCCGCCCGGGGGGGCCCAGCGCCGACCTCAGAAATCTGCGCGAACCTCCGAGAAATTATGTTTATGCCGTTCGTTGTTCTTCGACTGACGTCCTCGCGCTGTGAACCAAAAAGAAAGGAATGTATAACGACGGGCGGCTTTCGGCAGATTTCTGCCTCCGGGGGCCCCTGTGGGGCCTTGGGGCCGTCAAAAAACGATTCGGGATGAGAAGCAGGTCACCGGTCAGGGGTTCCAGACCTCTGGGGAACCACGTTGTGATCGGATGCCTGGGTCTGCATGCAAAGGTTGCTTTTTGGGGGACACTGGCTGCAAGGCGGCTGGCCGTCTGTGGGTGGGGGCAACTGGTGGCAACCTCGGGTCGGACATCCAAGATATACCACACTGCTCACGACGGCCAGACATCACGACAGCCATTGAAGCGGCTCCGCTTCACGACGTGGCAAAAGCAACGGCCGATGCCTGGCAAGAGACGTTACATGCGACGACCGAGGCAACGACCGATGCTACTCGATATGCCTTCTGCAGCAGAACTGGATGGGGGTCTTTAGGAGGGCTGGCCTCTGGGGGAGACAGGGCCCCGCAATCGGCGATACATCGCCGACAGATCGGCGACAAGCCCCCGATAGCAAAAGCCACGCGTTCCTGGGCGTGGTGGGGCACCCGTGCCCCTATCGGCGATGCATGGGCGATCTGGGGTCGATGTATTCCCCCTCTGGGCCAATCCCCTCTAGCGTTGCCCCTTGGTTTCGGGTCATCACTCGGCGCTTTGGCAGACGTCCGGAACGATCCAGGCACACCTGGAACGCTCCCTGAGAGGCGCAGCTGCTGACAGGGGCCCCAAAACGGAGCGGTCACAGACCTTGCGGTGACCTCGGAATCCCAAGAGACCTCACCGCAAGGTCGGTCACCGCACAGTTTGGAGCCTCTGAGGCCCCAGTCGCCCGAGACGTCCTCGAAGAACGACCAAAGTCCCAAAACCGTGCGGTCACCCCGAATCCCCACAGACTCACCGCACGGCGTGGTCACCATTCAGGTCGACGGACGAACAACACACACACACACACACACACACACACACACACACACACGCACACACACCTATGCCCATTAGGGGGACGGATGAGCTTGTGGGTGCGGGTTGTCAGATGGGGGTCCCTGCTCGAACAGGAGCCTCCCCCGCGGTGAGACAACCCGCACCCATACCCATAGCCAATCCTCCTCCCGCCGACCCCCCTGTGGGTATGGGTGTGTGATGTTCGCTCTGCAGTTTGGCCCCCCCCCGCAAGAGGCGGGAAAATCTGGCGGAACGCCCGGGCCCGCCAGCGGTCTGACTTCGGCTCGCCCGCCAGCGCGAGGAACGGCAGCAGCGCGGCCGCGCACGCGGCCAGGTCCGCCCAGACGTCCATCGGGCGATGGACGTCGGCCCGGCCGCAGTGGCGATGCCCCAGGGTTTATCTCGGCCACAGTCAAGCCGTACTCTTAAGGCGCAAAATAAGAGTGCAGGGGTCTTGGAAGGCCACGTCGACACTTTGCGAGCAGGGCGCGGCCAGCGAAAGCGCCCCAGGATGGGCCGAAGCGGAAGGATGCAAGGGTAACCTGGGAAGTCGTTCATCTCTACTACGCGGTTTGGCTGTACACGCTGGAGTGGTCCTAGGCAAAAGCAAACTGGGGATCGCAAAGTGGTGACACACCGCGCAGCGACCCCGGAACCCCAGAAGATCTCACAGGAAGAGGAGGAGGCCGCGGAGAAACAGACGGAGGAGGAGGAGGAGGTGGAGGATAGGAAGAGGAGGAGGAAAAGGAGTAAGAGGAAGAGGATGCCCATCTTTTCCTGGGGCCAGAACAGATGATTCTCGCAGGGCAGCATGCAACTCGAATGCGACCGAACGCGAGCCAGCATCTTCGAGCTAGCTCAAATCTTGCCGCAGCTTACGCATCAGATATACATCTAGACTGAAGAGGCACGCAGTGGGTTGGCTTAGGGCTCGAGAAAAACCGCTTGAGCCGAAGTGCGGCCAGGCGGAAAATATTAGCATTGCGCGCTCTGTTACACTCCACGGGCTCTGTTTCACAACGCTGCTACATGCCCATCTTTTCCTGGGGCCAGAACAGATGATTCTCGCAGGGCAGCATGCAACTCGAATGCGACCGAACGCGAGCCAGCATCTTCGAGCTAGCTCAAATCTTGCCAACAACCGCCACTATATGCGATCTGGCGGTTGAGGCGGCACCTTCTCCAAATGCGATTCGTGAATTAGTTGCGACCATTGCTGCAGCAGGCGGGGCGGATAGGGCTCGGCGACTTGTGTCCACAGGCGGCCTCCGGGAGCTCTGCCCTCAAGGACTTGATGTGGTTTCTTGGAAAACACACACGACATTGGCACACTGAGCGGCGAGCGGCGACAACAATCCTTTTTTGTCGTCCCAGCATGCTAGGGTCGTTTCCTTCCGCCACGGCATTCCATATTTACAATAGACTGTGTGCGTGAGGGACGCATGACACAACAGGCGTGCTAGTCCTGGCTGCCTCCACAGCCAGGACCTACGTGGATTCTCCAAGGACACTGGCACCCGATGACGGACGCAAGCTCTGATGATACGAACTGAGGTTCGTAGCAGCTGATTGCCTACTTTGACCTTTTGGGCGTCAGCTCCTGAAAGGCTTGGGAGACCGCAGGGAAATTCACAAGAGCGCAGCGGGCCCCCCGGAGAGCCCGGTTTGCCCCGGCGCGCTCCTGAAAAACTTGCGCACGGCGTGCCTAAATGGACCCATTTGGCCTGCGGCACAAGCTGTAGCACTGCACGAATGGACCTTTCTTTGCTCAAGTCCTGCGAGGCACTATCTCTGATGTCCCATGCGCGTGCTCTCCAGCCCCGCCGCTGCAGCGAAGCCGCGAGCCCTCCCTTTCCTGAAAAAAGCTCCAAAACAAGCGGCCTGGCCTGTGCACTAGGCTGAGTCGGAGTCACACGAGGCTCACGTCTTGGAGCCGCCGCGCGAAGCCGTTGGTGCGCCCGTCGCCCAGGGCGCCCTCGAGCAGCTGGTCGGCCTCGGCCAGCAGCAATTGTCGGCCGCGGTGGAGCGAGGCCCGGCGGCGCGTCAACTCCCAGCTCTTGAGACCGAAGAGCGCGGCTGCTACCATGAACATGGCATTGAAGTCCGCGCCCGACCATGGAGAGAGGAGATCCACCGGCTGCGACTGGGAAACGATCTGCTCCAGCCGGGGCCCGACAAAAGATTTTGCGGGGTTGTTGAGCAGGATCGAGTCGCTGAAACCCCTGGTCGTGGCTGACTGCAGCTCCTTTTTGGGCCTCAGCTGCAGGGGCGTGAAGCGGTAGTCGCCCCCAGCACGCGGCTGCGCCAGCACCCTGTGGTCCGCCCGGAGGGTCAGCAGCTCCCTCGGGCGCAGGTAGGCGTCCGCCGCGAGCTTCACGCCGAGGGCCGCTCGCCGCTGGCCGAGGTCGATCAGGGCCACCGCGAGGGCCGCTTGCGCCGCCCAAGGCGCCGGCGCCCACGCCAGCGGCCGCACCAGCCCCCGCCAGCCCTGCAGCGCCCTCGCCATGCGGGGCAGCTTCAGCTGCCTGCCCGCATGGCGCAGCCCTGGGCCGCGATGCCTTACCGCGGCCCGCAGCTTGGCCCCGCTGCTCGACGGCTCTCCCT